TGCATCTTCTCCTAACAGGGCCTGAAGGGCACATTCTCAAAGCACGTATTACCCAGAACCCAAGGTAGTTACAAAATGGGCGAGACACAGAGCAGAGACCTCTTGGAAGAACTGGGAACCAAAGATTTCCATCGAACCAATTTACAAGACTACATTTCCAGGAGGCTGATGACAAAACTGGTGGCGGTGGTGAGAAATGCAGCTGATGATGTCTGGGCCTCACTTGTTCTTACTTCCTGAGCCAAGCGAAACAGGTGAAGCCCTCACTCACCACGTGGGGAGCCTCCTGGAAGCCCTGGGCAGATTCAGCGGCTGCACCCCCAGCCTCCCCTGCCCCCTCACTGCCCTGTGGTATCGGCTGACCTGCCTCACCACAGTTGTGGGATCACCAGGAGAGCTTGGTCAGCTCTCAAGGCTCACCCTGACCTATGGTATCAGAACTTTGGTCGGAGGGAGAGGAGGGCAAGATGGGGAGAATGCTGTGTAGACACATGTGTCCAGGACAGAGCTGACCACTGCTCAAACCTGGGGAAACTCAAGCCCATGGGGACCACCAGACCTGCCCACTCCCCCAAGCCCCAATGTGTTGGGGTTCATTAGTCTAACAAGGGTGGGAAGAGACATCCAAGTGGCTGTGCAGCTGGGTCCCTCCCCGCCCCCACAGTGACCTGCATTCTCAGGGAAGGGGGAGGGGCCACAGTATCAGGACTCTCTGGGCTGCTGTTACTACTCAGACTCTGGACCAAAAGGAAAGCATGAAAGCCCTGGGCTCAGAGTCAGACCACTTCCTAGATGGGATACCTGGGAGAGGGAGCTCACTCTTCGAAGCACTGATTCTCTCAACTATAAGGCAGGCTTGATGACAGAGCCTACCTGCCTCTGTAGGTAAGAACAAGGTTAAAAGACAATGCACATAAATGGAGACACAGAACAAGCAGAAAACCATCATCATTTCTTTCCATTGCTGGGTCCCTTCTTCCAGTCCACAGAAGATCTGGGTGGGAGAACGCAGACAGAAGCTACACCTGCATCTCCAGGGATCAGATTCACTGTCAAACAGTTGAGTACCCGAGAACAATCACGAGGGAAAGGTTAAACTCTCCAAACTCTTACCTGCAGTGGTCAAAAGGTAGACGACGAAAATCTGTTTGTGCGATATCTGTGTAAAATGAAAATAAAGGACAGAAAACTTACTCTGTAAAAAATTTCACGTATGTGCTCTATCAACAAGTCAACTACGTTTTAAGAAAAAGTGCATGTAAGTCACGGGGATGAAACGCACGGCATGGGGACTGTAGTCAATGATATCTTAAAAATTGTGTGGGGGGCTTCCCTGGTGGCTCAGTGGTTAAGAATCTACCTACCAATGCAGGGGAAACGGTTTGAGGCCTTGTCCAGGAAGATCCCACGTGCCGCGGAGCAATGAAGCCCGTGCATCACAACGACTGAGCCTGTGCTCTACAGCCCACGAGCCACAATTACTGAGCCCGTGTGCCACAACTACTGAAGCCCGTGCGCCTAGAGTCCATGCTCCTCAACAACAGAAGCCACTGCAATGAGAAGCCCACGCACTGAAACAAAAAATAGCCCCTGCTCGCCGCAACTAGAAAAAGCCCACGTGCAGCAACGAAGACCCAACACAGTCAAAAATAAATAAAATAAATAAATTTTAATAAATAAATAATAATAATAATTGTGTGTAGTGACAGACGGTAACTAGACCTATTTTGGGTTTTGTTTTGCAATGCACAGAAATATCAGACCACTGCATTGTGCACCTGGAAGTCACTCAGTGTTACAGGTCAACAATACATCGATAAAAAAATAAAAATCTGTTAAGATTAAAAAAAAAAAAGAAAAAAACAAAAGAAAACGCTGATGTAAATTACCCAGTGCAAAAATTGCTGTGTACTAATACCTTTCTCTAGACAGAACCAAAACGTGGGGTACATCAAGAAAGAGCTTAGAGGAAAAAGTACATACCGCAGGTGGGTTTCTGCCACAACCCTAACTAACACCCCTGCTGTGGGGCTCCCTCTTGGCTTTGCTTTCCAAGAGGCTGGGCCAGTTTTGCTTCCACCAGTGACCATGACAGTGCTCTTTTGACTGCAGCCTTGATAGCTTTAGGTATTATTGCTCTTTGCATTCTTTTTTTTTTTAATTTATTTATTTTTGGCTGCATTGGGTCTTTGTTGCTGCACGCGGGCTTTCTCTAGTTGCAGTGAGCAGGGGCTACTCTTTGTTGCAGTAAGCAGGCTTCTCATAGCGGTGGCTTGTCTTTGTTGCAGAGCACAGGCTCTAGGCACGTGGGCTTCAACAGTTGTGACATGTGGGGGCTCAGCAGTTGCGGCTCGTGGGCTCTAGAGCACAGGCTCAGTAGTTGTGGCACACAGGCTTAGCTGCTCCACGGCATGTGGGATCTTCCTGGACCAGGGCTCGAACCCATGTCCCTTGCATTGGCAGGCAGATTCTTAACCACTGCGCCACCAAGGAAGTCCCCGTTCTTTGTATTCTTTATTAACATGACAGAGAAAATATTATTGTAACCTATGTTAAAAAAAATCACCAATATTAAACATTTTCTCCTATGTTTAGTGTATTTCCTCTTTTGTGAACTGTGTCCTCAACCCATTTGTCTACTATAGTTTCCATGTTCTTATTAACTGTTCATTTTTACACTTACTGCATTGTGAAGACATCATTCCTTAATTATACCCACACACACACACCAAAAGGAACAGAAGGATTTCATGCCTTACCTGGTTTCTTGCCACCATAGAAGTGAGTGTATTCAGCACAGGTAATGTACCTGGAGAGAGAGATAATCTTACTACCACCTCTTTATAAAAAGAATAGTCTCTGGAAGTAAGAAGTTGATAACCGAAATCATTTCACTCATTTGGAAAATGCTTTTTTAACACGTACTATGTGTCAGGCACATAGTGAAAAAACAAGAGAACAAGGGGATACACAAACTAGTAAGCAAACCCAAACGGTCCTGCTCCAAAGGGCAGGGTTAACAATGAGAAGCAGCTGGCCACACGAAGACCTGGGGAGAGAGCTTTCCGGGGCAGAGGGACCAAGCCGACTAATCACGTATAAAAGCCCTGAGGCAAGGGCTTCCCTGGTGGCGCAGTGGTTGAGAGTCCGCCTGCCGATGCAGGGGACACGGGTTCGTGCCCCGGTCCGGGGGGATCCCACATGCCGCGGAGCGGCTGGGCCCGTGGGCCACGGCCGCTGAGCCTGCGCGTCCGGAGCCTGCGCGTCCGGAGCCTGTGCTCCGCAACGGGAGGGGCCGCAGCAGTGAGAGGCCCGCGTACTGCAAAAAAAAAAAAAAAAAACCCCTGAGGCAAGAAAAGCTAGTGTGTTCCCAAAGAAGGGCAAAGCCACTGAAAAAGAGTGCACATGGGGGCACGGGGCCACTGATCATGGAAACGCAGGTGGTGGTCGTATCACAAAGGGCCTCAGGGGCCGTGGGAGGACTCTGGATTTGCTTCAGGCGGGATGAAAGGACCCTGATCCAGCATAAGTCCTCAAAGCATGACTCTGGCTACTGTGTGCAGAGAGTCAAGCAATAGGCAGCAGAAAACCAATCTGAGGGCGACTACAAAGGTTCAAGAAGGAGCTGGCATCAACTTCACCTGTGGGAGGACTGGTGGACGAGTGCGAAGCGGTCAATTCCTGGAAGAGCCAGCAGGACGTACTGATGGACAGGAGGCAGAGGGAGCTAAGGGAAACTCCCAGGCTTCTGACCCCCAGCGAGGAGAGAGCGGTGTGACCACTGAGATGGGAAAATGGGGGAGGAACAGGCTCAAGTGCTGAAAATCAAGAGTTGCTTCCCCGTGGGGCACACTGAATTCGAGAAGCCCATCGGATCTCCAAGTGGAGGTGTCCTAAGCAAGACTGGAGAGATCCCACCGGGCAGGATGTAAATGGAGAGGAAGCCTGGGGGAGGAGACGTAGGAGGTCCGGAACGGGGGGAGGAGGATCCAGCAGAAGAGACCAACAAAGAAAGACCCCTGAGGTAGCCTGAAAACAAAGAGTGTGGTGTCCCAGGCACCGTACAAGGGCTTCAGAGGGAGAGAGGCGGTCAGCCGCGTCCTACGCTGCTGAGAAGCCCAACAAAACGAGGACTGAGAACCGACTGACCCCCGGATGGAGTCGCACGGAAGTTACAGGATCACGACAAGAGTAGTGCAGCGGGCAGAGCCCGACTGGAGTGGTTTCAAAGGGAAAGCAGAAAACAGCCGATCGACACAGATGTTCCTCTTCTTGTCATAAAAAAAATCAAAGAAACTCGGTGGCAGCTGGTGGTGCCAGGTGGGTTTGTTTTAATTGGAAGGTGCTGTAGCCCGTGAGCAGGCTGGGGAGCGAGAACCGCGCCCGGGGAAAGCCGGCGGGGTCAGAGCTGGCGAGCGGAGGGGCCGAGGGGACAGGACCCCGAGAGACCCGCGCCTGAGGGAGCCGCCCCGCCGGGGGACGGCGGAGGCTCCCGGGGAAGTGACGTCGAGAGGGACTCGGCACGGCGCAGAGTGCGGACAGGCCCGCTCCCGGCGGCGGCTCAACTTACATCTTGTCCTTCTGGTGCTGTCGCTTCCCCATGATGGCGGCGGCGGCGGCGGCGGCGGCGGCGGCGGCGGCGGCGGCGGCGGCGGCGGCGGCGGCGGCAGGACCAGCAAGCGAGGGAAAACAACGGCACACAACTCACACCGCGCCCTCTCGGCCGAGCTCCGTAACTACTTCCGGGTATCTCGGACCCGCCCCGGAAGTGGGCGGTGGGCACGCCGGGAATTGTGGTTCCTGGTGCCCAGGCGCATGGCCGGCCGGCGCAGGCGGCTCCCTGGGTCCCTGGGCTGAGCTCGCGGTTGGCTCGGCCACGTCGGGGCTGAGCTGCTTCCGCCTCGAAACCCCGTCTTCCCGGGGGCCTCTAGCTGGACCGCCTCACCCAACCGGCCCCGGCTCAACGCCATCCCCGCCCAAACCCGCCCTGGATTCTCAGGTCTTAGGCCTGGAGCCCCAAGAACCCCCAGCCTCGGCCCCATCACCGCTCCCCGCCAGGCCGAAACCTCCAAAGCGACGTACACATTCCCTGCCTGCCCACTTACCGCCCATTTGGTCCCCACCGCCTGCAGGCCTCTCTCCTGGGCGGCCCAGGGGCCGGTGGCCATGAAGCCTGAAGGTCTAAAGCCCTGATGATCCCTTCGGTCTCTTCTGACTGACCCTTCCTTCGGCTGGACCACCACGTTTGTATGCCCCGGCCGAGCCCTGGACCTCCCTCTACACTCAAGCACTGGGTGACCTTGCCCAGGCTCATGGCTTTAAACACCTGTATCCCTTGTCTCCAAACACGAAATGGCCAGCACTTCTGCCTTCTGACCTCTACCTGGGCACCGACTGAACTCAAATTTAACATGTCTGGTAAAAGCATAATTCTCCACCCCCATCTACCCCTAGTGTCCACTCTCCTCAAGGTACCACTGTCCACCCAGTCACCCCATACACCTCGATCTCAGCTCCCACAAGGGCTTATCACAATTTGTAATCCTGTACTAATTTATCTATGTACTGGCTTACCACACACACATGGATGGGACATAAGCTCCTTAAGGGCCAGGACCCCAACTGCTTGGTCTATTATCTCCAGTAGCAAGCAAGGTGCAGGGCATCCACAGGGCTCAACCGACATCTGCTAATGGCCAGCATCATTGGGCACTTTGTGAGGACTCATGTCTCACATGCAGGTTTGATTCTAAAGTCAGCGTGGGAGGTAATCAGAGTCACGTGTCTTTGAAACTCTTTAGGGAGGTGCCAAATTGGAAACTGACTCGCCAGCTCATTTTCCTCCCAGGAGGGAACAGACCACTGTTTCTAAACTTGCACCCAGATAAGCCTTGTGTTTAGGAGCCAGGTGTAGCAAAAACTGGTAGTCTTGCAACTCAGTGGGGTCAAGTGAGGCACAACGGGGCCACAGAGTTACTGCAGGGAGGGGCAACACACTCCCCGCACTCAACACTCTTTCAAAGTGCACAGGACTGAGTTCCCAGGTTAGGTGCAAGTGAGGGGACTTCACTGACCTGACCACCTACTGTGTGCAGTCTCAGGCCAAAGAGCCTCAGGCTTGCGCTACCCTGACCACCTCTTGGGGTTGCAGAGAGCCCGTGGGACTGCACGGCCCCTGGGTAGCGTGGCACGAGGAAGGAACCACCAGGGGAACTTTATTCATTCTCCTGCCGTGGTCTGTACAGAAGAGGTTATGGGTCCCTCTGGTGGGGCGTGGACTCTGCGCTGCCAGGGTCATTCTCTGATTCATCTTTGGGTCTGGGCACAGGCTGGAACTTGAGCAGGACAGGCAGGGTGAAGATGGAGGCCTTCACAGATGGGGATAGCATCTCCTCGGTGCTGGCAGAACCACTACAGGCTGAGGGCCTGTTCAGGAAACACACAAGACATGGGTCCATGAGGGGGACACGGCACACAGGGCCATCAGAGGAACACACGACAAAACCCAGGCTGTGGGATGGCTCTCGATACATTACTGCTGCTGGAAATCCCTCCCATGGATGTTTGCTCAAGGCTGTTCATTGCAGCAATGTTTGTGATTGTGTAAACCTGGAGACAATCCAAACGTCCATCAGGGAACAGCTAAAAAAACCATGGTACAGGCATGCAGTGGACTATTCCACAGCTGTTTAAGGAACAAAGTTGGTCTGTACATCCCAGCAAGTAAAGACACCCCAATGGTACAGTAATGGAAAGAACAAGTAGCTGAGAAGTACGTGCAGTATGATCCTGATTTGATTTAAAAAATTAACCAATGTATTGGGACTCATATTTCATGTATTCATTTCTATATTGTGACCTTTTTTCCATAGAGTATGTTATGCTTTTGTAAACTTTTAGAAAACAATTTAAAATAACCCATTTTGGGGGATAGTGCCAAGACAGCACAGCTCACTCAGAAAGCAATACATAACAGGAGGCTAAACATTGTCCCCATTAATGAAATATTTCAACAAGCAAGGGTAGTTGAATAAATGATGCTCCGTCCACACAATGGGGTGGGTATTCTGCATCTATGATTACTGGTGAATTTCTAGGTATTTTTAATGACAGGGAAGCAACATGTTCCAGAACTGGCTGCAAAACTGCTCACAGGACGCTCCTGATTACGTGACAAACTACTACCTGTGCACGTACACTCGTGTCCATGGGGAACACCTACAGTGAAACAGGGATATGTGCCAACAATGGTTATTTCTGACCTTGGGAGTGAGAGTGATTGGTGTCTTTTTTGGGTAGTTTTCAAACTGTCTACAGTAACTAGATCCTGTTTCAGAATCTGAAAAATGGTAGTGCTTTTGAAAACTGTTCCTACCCTTTCCCTTGTAATTTCACTTCTGGAAATTCATCTTGAGATTCAGGGACAGCTTAGCACATAAAGATAGTGATGCCAGGGAATTCCCTGGCGGTCCAGTGGTTAGGACCCCACATCTCACTGCCAAGGGCCCAGGCTCAATCCCTGGTCAGGGAACTAAGACCCCACAAGCCGCGCAGCAGGTGCAAGAAGGGCATGTTGACCTTCACCCGTTTTCTCTGGAAGTGGGAGATAACATATTTATGCCCACCCACCACACGCATAGACACACACGCATGCACACACACACGCTGAGTGAGGGTACCGCACATGCTGGACGTCTGTCACACGGCCAAGGAAGCTGACCAATTTATGGTATGGTTTCATTTATATAAAATGTCCAGAACTGACAAACCTATAGCGACAGAAAGTAGGTTAGTGGCTGTCTAGGGCTGAGGGAGAGGGAGGGCCAAATAGGCAGAGGACTTTCAGGGCAGGGAAACTATTCCATACAACACTGTAATAGTGGACACACGTCATTATACATTTGTCCAAAACCATAAGATGTACGTCACCAGGAGTGACCCTAATGTGAACCACGGACTTTACATAATGACACGTCAATGTAGGTCATAGTTTGTATTAAAGGTCCCACTCTCTGGCAGATGTTGATCGCGGGGGAGGCTGTGTGGGGAGGGCAGAGGGATATGGAACTCTCTGTACTTTCAGCTCAGTTTTACTGTAAACCCTAAACTACTCTAAAAAATGAAATCTATTTGAAAATTTTAAAAAGAATGAGTACTGCTACAACATGGATGAACTGCAAAAACATTAACCAACTGAAAGGAGCCAGATACAAAGACCACATATCTTACAATACCATTTATAGCAAACGTCCAGAACAAGCAAATCTATAGACAGAAAGTGCTGAAGAGGGGCGAGTGGAAGAGTGAGGGCTATGGGTTTCTGGGGTGAGGAAAGTGTGCTAAAATTAATTGTGGTGATGCATTCATAACTGTGACTATACCAAAGACCATAGAATTGTGTGTTTATTTATTTATTTATTTATTTATTTAATCATTTTTGGCCACACCGTGCAGCTTGCGGGATCTTAGTTCCCCAACCAGGGATGGAACCTCAGCCCCCTGCAGTGGAAGCACGGAGTCCTAACCACTGGACTGCCAAGGAAATCCCAGGAATTGTATTTATTAAATGGGTGAATTATACCATGTGAATAATACCTCAATAAAGCTGTTTTAAAAAAAAGTCATCTGATGCAATGAAGCAGCCAATCCAAACACTCAATGATGTGGGAAATACTTGACAAAAACGGTAATAAAAAACCCATATTCAGGGGCTTCCCTGGTGGCGCAGTGGTTGAGAGTCCACCTGCTGATACAGGGGACGCGGGTTCGTGCCCCGGTCCGGGAAGATCCCACATGCCGCGGAGCGGCTGGGCCCGTGAGCCATGGCTGCTGAGCCTGTGCATCCGGAGACTGTGCTCCGCAACGGGAGAGGCCACAACAGTGAGAGGCCCGCGGACCGCAATAAAAAAAACAAACAAAAAAACCCCCATATTCAGTAAATCCCTGCTTTGCAAAACACACATGTAGATAAAGCACGGGGCTGCCCACAGCTGATTGAATCGTTCCCTTCTGTTGGCCTCTGGGCTGTTTGTTTCTGGTTTCCCACCAGCACAAACACTAGGAAGGGGAAGCAACTTTCCAGCACGCCTGACGACATTAGGGTCCATCCTGGAAGTGGGAGCGACCATCACACTGAATATCCTTCCAGCCCTCACGCACGCTGCTCAGAGGCCAGACGGTTCGGGGGCACACTTACCAGGGGAAGCCAGGGCAGTGGAGCTTGTGCGCATTGTTCCTGGCCAAGTACGAGAAGTGAAAGCCTCCAGGATTGAGGACCAAGGGGGTCAGATCGACTACGCGGCTGCAAGACAGGGCGGGGCAGGGGACACACTCAGCTCTGGGCTCCTCCAGGGCAGGGGGTGCCTCCCCAGCCTCGGGGGGTACGGGGGCTCCGTACACAGGCAGATCTCTGAGCCCCAACTCCTCCCCAGGACCAAGAGGGGAAGGACCACTCAGGATTGTGGGATGGATCCACTACGAGAGGGGAGGGAATCATAGCCCAGCTGGCACACAGCAGGCTCCCCCAAACCCTCCCGTCTCATTTGCCTCGGGCCCAGGATAAATCCTCCCACCTCTTCGGGCCAGTCCAGTCCAATTTTGCTTCAGACCTCGAAACTTCCAATTACTCCATCTTCAGCAAACAAAAGAAACTTTAGGACAAGGGTGGGATCCTCATCGTGAAGAGAAACACCTTCTCCAAGAACTATGAGAACGATGTGCCTTCCAGTCAATCAGCAAACACATCAGGCTCATCCTCGGTGCCACCTGGAGCTTGGTGTTAGGGGGATGGGGCCCGGCGTGCGGGCTGGGAGCCAACAGAGGAGATCCCAGCCCCGCCTGGGGGACAGGTGACGAGCGGGAGTTAGGAAGGGTAGGCGAGTCGGAAGAGCACTGCAGAGGCACTTAGAGGGTGGCCTGGAGAATGACACCCACGGGGAGAGGCAGGTTTCAGGCATCCCCTGGAAGCCCCGGGATTGCGCTGAGTGCACTGAGGCCAGGCAGGCGGAGTCCTGTGCCTCCCCCAGCCCAACTCTGCGAGCAGAGCAGCCCCCTTTCATCTATCTACTGCTGCCTGCAGAGGAAGTTCTGGGAACCACTGCTGTGGGCCCGGGCATCGCTGGGGTGCTTCTGAGCAGGGGGTTAGAGGCTGCCCCTCCCAGGGCCACTGACCGATGTGCTGGGCAGCGGAGGGAAGGGGCCAAAGACCCTGGGCAGAGTGTAGACAGAGGTTGATGGGGCCACGATGGAGGCCATGGTGGTGGCAGGCAGTGGCAGCAGGGTTGGTGGCAGGCACGGGGAGGTCGACCGGTCCCACAAGAGGATGGGTTCTGGTTTCTTCGGTTTTCGCTTGCTTCTCTTCTTGGCATCTGGGACAGAAGGTGTCGGTGATCACCTATCCCAAGGCCCGAACAGGTTGGGGGGGCGCCAAACACAGGCCCTCCAACAAGGAGGGAGGCAGGCCCACAAAGGGCACCACTACCGACAGGCACGAACACACGCCACCTCACTGGCCCCAAAACCGCCCCACAGGGAAACGGTACTTTTGTCTCTATCTTACGAGTGAAGTGGGAAGCTCGAACTATACAAGGCCCATGCAGGGACCATGCCAGGCTGTCTGCCTTCCAGGACAGAATTTCACAGGAAGTGATGGAGTGTCACCGCCAAGGAGGGCTGGGCTTGGCCCGAGCAGGTTGGCCTGCCACCCACTCTCCCAGGCATGGCACAAAGCCCTGGAGCCTGCCAGCACCCCAGTGGGTTGTCCAGTCCCCAGACAGTGAGCCCACCGAATACACGCAGCCCCGGGTCATCCTGGGGGTGCGCAAAGGGTGCATGGGGAGGAAGTCTTGCAGAGGTGGGCTTGGGGAGGAACCTAAGGCCTGCACCTCCTCTCTCCTGTTCTGATGAGTCTGGCTCTTTCTACTGTTCAAAGCTGGGTCCCACCAGCAAAGTAGGAGGTAACAAGCCCCTCCTGCAGCCTCTCAGACGGCTCATCTAGAGTGAGATAAGCACTGCCAGGGAGCACTGGTTGGAGGCTGAGCACCAGCCCTGAGTCTCAGTCCAGCTCCACCACACCTGTGTGGCCTACACAGGCCGGACAACCTCCCCGGGCCTCCATTTCCTCTTCTGTAAAACAGGGATAAATAACACCACACCAGCATCTTGGGAGACCGCGGTAAGAGCTACACATGCTGTGGGTCCAGCTGTTGGATGAAACGGTGCTGTGGGACCCCCCCCAGATGAGCTGGGCCCCCCGATGTGAGGCGAGACAAAGAAGCCCAACACCACCATCCATCCCTGAACACGGACACTCCCAAGGACCAAATCCAAACTTCATCAAGGCTTTAGAACGACTATCCAAGAAATAACAGGCAGAGGGGGAAGAGCAAACACACCAGTGGACCCAGACAACAGATACAAACCCATCGAGTGGGTCCCCCAAAGGACAACACAGTTTTTTAGTCCATAGCATCGGGGAAAAGTGAGGGCATCCCGCGTCAAAAGTAACTTCAAAAGACGAGGCCAGAATCCCCACCTGCCACCCTGTGTGGCCACTAATGAGGTCACCTCTCATTTCACTCTCCCAGGGCCCGGGGTGTACACGAATTTGCCTCCCACCCAAACAGTATGCGGGCCTTGCCGAGTCCTGATTGACAGACCAAGTGTAGATAGCCTTCTGTGGACCACCGGGGAGATGTGAGTCAGGTCAACCAGGCCGCTCGAGCCCAGTGCGGATGGAGCCTCACCCTGGGAGTATAAGTGCACGCGGTGGATGCGCCTCTTGAGCTGCTCCAAGCGCTGGTGCATCTCCAGGGCGCCCATGCTGTTGCAACAGTTCAGCTCCCCCTGGACGGCACACGAGACCTTGGCCTGCGACGACAGCGGGAGAGGAAGGGAGGAGGAAGCTGGACGGGTGAGCCGCCTAGCCGGGGCCGCCTCCTTAAAGTCCCCTACCAGCAGCTCAAGCAGGGCGGACACCGGCGCCCCGCCCCCACCTCGGAACCCCGGAGCCCCGCCCTCCCGGGCCCGCACCCAGAGGAAGGACAGGAGCCCACGCCGCTCGCACTCCGCCTGCTTGCCCTTGCGCACCACGCTCTCATCCAGCGCCGGGTTGCGGTCGAGGCTAAGGAAGAGGAGGCGCAGCGCGCTCTCAGTGTAGGTCGCCGCTTGCCTCTCGAAGTCCTCCTCGGGGATGAGCTGGCAGAAGGTCACACTCTGCGGGAACTCGCTGTCGAACTCGTCCAGAACCTCCATTCTCGAGGGCTTCGGCTGCCCGGCTGCCTGGGGGCGGAGCGGCCGTCGGGGCGGGGCCCCGGACGCGCCCACTCCACCGGCCCCAGGAGGGGAGGAGGGAGACCCCCCCCCCCGAGGGCCAGAGCTCGGGTCACTATCCAGGCGGGGCCACCGGGGTCCGGGCGCGCCCATCCTCCCGCCCAGGTCAGGGAGAGGAGGGGTCGGCCCCAGAGGGCCAGGCCCGGGGACGCACCGTGGTCCCCTTCCCGCCGCGCCGCGCCTACGCAGGATCCCTCCGCGCGCGCCGCCGCACGGACAGCTCGGGCCAGTCTCGGGAGACCGCGGGCCAATCCGCGCGAGACAGCCGCACGTGACAATGCCCGCCGCTCTGCGCATGCGCCTTCACGCTTCGACGGGGCGGACGGCGGGACGCAGCTACCCCTGCAGGAGGCCCATACCCCGGGGTGCCGCCCGTGGCCAAGCCAATTCTCACAACTTCTTTGAGGCGCTCGGCCCCCGGCCGGACTCCAGTACCTCCCATCTTGGCTGCTCCCCTCCTCCTCACCGTCTGTAGACAAGGCCCCAAGAGTTCTTTCTGCCCCCAACTCCTCTAGCCCCGGACTTTTCACGCTCTTCTGACTTCCTCTCCCGCTTCTATCCCGTCTCCTCTCCTCATGAGGGTCCTGTCTTTACCATACCTTCTTGGACATCTTACCCACTTCTTAGTCCCAACCCAGAACTGACTTTAACCCCAAGTCCCTTGAGTTACAGACCCACATCTAAGTGTCCCCAGGGGACGTTTCCTGGGCATCTCACGCTCAGCACATCCGAATTGGCATGCAGCTTCTTCCCTTCCACCCAGAAATCTGCTTCTCTTTTCCCTCTCCTACTTGGTCAGTGGCCGACCCCACCATCCACCCCTGCTGCTGATGAGGGGGTGTGCCCTGGACTGCTTAGTTCAGGTCCCCTCCTAACCCAGCCCCCTCTCCATCAGCCCTGTGATCCATGGAGTGCACCTGAGATTTTTTCACTTCCTACCACCAAACGGCCAGCCCCAGCTCTCCCCAACACAAGAGGTGGCATTCACTTCCTCTTGCTTTGATGTCACAGATCAAGATGGACACAACCAAAAAAAAAAAAAAAAAAAAGATGGACACAACCAAGGAGGGAGAAGGTATGGCCTGTGCATCTCGCCTACAGGTGCAGGCAGACTCAGATACACCTGCATCCAAATCTCTGCCACCATTCTGCCACCTGCCCCGGGCAGGTGGCCCCGGATGTGAGGCTGGGCCCATATGACTTACAAAATCAGATTTGACTTTAAAATACATAGTAGGTGCCTTTTTAAAAACAGGACAAGCATCCTCTGAGAGGTCGGGCAGACCCCTGATTAACACCCCCATCATGTTATGCTTATAATACTTTACACTTTTTCTGTTTATTTGGATTTTTAAAGTGTATTGTGCCAGGTACTGCCAAACTACATGCTCCCTGCCTTCAGGGGCTCCCCGTTTAAAGAGGGCTTCAGCCACAGGGAGAAAAATGTGATCTAACATGCTCTGGTGGAGGAACATTGGATGTCTTGGAGTCCAGGGAAGTCTTCCCATAGGAGGGGACATTTGAGCAGTGCCCTGAGTTCACAAGCCTCTCCGAGCAAGGGCAGGAGACAGCTGCATGGGGGTCTTTGGCCAATGGGTACATAATCTGCACGAGAGCAAGAGGTGGCCACCTCCAGCCATGGGCCTAAGTCAGGTGACCTTGGGATGGAGGAACCCCAAGGGGTCAGGCCTAGGAGACAGAGGAGCATGTGTCATTTCCCCTCATCCTCCCCGGATGCCAGGGCTTCTACGCCCAGGGTGGGGGTGAAGCCAGGGTCCCTCTGTGCTCAACCATTGGTGAGGGGTACTCCCAAATGCCCATCCGGAGACCTGGGCCTCCTCTCAAGGAGACAGGCTTGAGTGGCTGTCACTGGGTACATCAAAATCTTTTGTGTCTGGTCCTGATGCTGAAGGTGACCCTGCAAGCACGCCTGGGGCCAGGCTTCTTGGCAGTTGGGCTCCACTCCCCCCGATTCCAGCTGTGAGGGTGGGCATGCCAGGCACCTCACAGTCTCTCCTGCAGGCTCAGGGCAGCACATGTCCCTGTAAGAGAACAAGTGGGCATGGTTGGAGGACGTGAGCTGCAGGCTTTGTATCCCGAGTCCACTGTCCGCCCAGCTAGTACTGCTCCTGCTGAGAACACAGGAGAACATTCTCTCCAGAGCTTGGCCCTCCCCAGGCCTTCCAGGAAGGCTGGGCCCAGGGCACCTCCACGGAGTCAAGGTTGTTGAGCTGGCTCTGAGCCAGGCCCGGGCAAACCCTCCGTGCAAAGCAATGGGCCTCTTTCTCCACAGGGCCCTGACCAAACCTCAAGCCCACAGGCTTACCTGGGAGCTGGTTGTAAAGATCCTCTTCAAACCATAGCATTTCTGAGTCGGAGGCCTCTGCCCCTTCCCCCTGTCCAGCCATGACCCAGATGGACAGGTTGGCGGAGGACCCCCCAGCTCTGCCCTCACCTGATCCTCCGATGGAGAGTCCAGACCAGCTCCGCACCTGCGCCTTACTGCTGGTTAGTGGAGTGAGGCAGCAAGACTCCCCCCCACCTCCCAGGCACTGTGGGTGGTGGGCTGGGCCTGACCGATGCCCTTTCATCATTGCACTGCTTCCCAGTGGCCCACAGTAGTGCAACAGGGAAAGAGTGTCAGGCAGGCCTGCCAGTGCCTCTCCCAGTGGTAGGTGGGGATCTGAGACCTGGAATGCAGGCCCACTGGGGCCTGGGGCGGGGCCTCTGCCTGGGGAAAGGGTGCCCTCTGACCCCAGAGGCCCAGGCCTGGCCAGGATCTCAAGTTTCCATGGAGAAGGGATAGGAGCTGGGCAAGGGGGAGGGGAGGGCCTGCAGGTCCAGGGGCCAGGCCTGGGGAGGGAAAGTAGCAGTATGGGGGAAGGGGTCCCCAAGGCTGGTCCCCGATGCTTTGACAATATCATTGCACTGCTCCTCAAAGCACAGTAGTGCAACCTCGTCAGAGCACCTGCGGCCAGCAGGGGGGAGCCCCATCACCCCCAATACACGCAGAGCGGGAAGCCCAACCGTAGGTGGGTGGGGCTAGGGCCCCATTCCTAGACAGCAGGGCGGGGAGGGGATTTCAGCGGGGCTGCGGTCCTCGGAGTCCTCAGGACCCCAGAGGGGCCGGACCCTCCCCAGCACCCTCCAGATTGCCGTGGGGTTGCGACCCCAGACTGAGGGGGGCAGCTCCACACCCTGAGCGGGAGCGCGCCCGGGAAAGGGCGCACACACAAAGGAGAGGGGCCCGCGCTTCAACGCGGTCCGAAACCCACTCGCGCCTGGGGCGGGAGTGGATATAGCCCGACGACCCTGCGCCCTCCCACGGCCTGAGGCTCCGGGAGAAGAAGGGTGGTCCCACTCCGGGCCGACGCGCCCCTGCCGGCCCCCATCCTTGGCCTCTGGCTCTTGGCCCCCAAGTTGGGCTCCGCATTCTGTCCCAACAGATTCCCTGCCCGGCGGCCCAGAGCGGAGAAGAGGAATGGGGGCTTCCCGCCCCTCTGAGGTCCCCTGCCCGGAGGGGGCGCCCGGGGTCTGGGCTGCGCCCCTCCACACCGCCCGCCGGGTAGGGCCGCCCTGCCCGCGCCCCCACCTCGGACCCAGCTACTCACGCGGCGGGACGCCCTTTCCGTCCCGGGCCGGGGCAGGACTCGGGAGGTTGCGGGGACAGGTCCCGGCGGCCGTCAGCCCGCGCTGCCCCCCAGGACCACCCCGCACCTCGTGGCGCCCTCCCGCCGCCGGCTCCATCTTTAACTCGCTGACAGGCGGCGGCCCAGCCCCCGGCTCCTTAGCATAGCGCCGCGCTCATTGGCCGGCGCCGGCGGGGGCTTCGCCTTCTGCACGCCCATTGGCTGAGGCCGGAGAGATTTCAAAATAGCCTGCGGGCCCGGATTGGCCCGGCGCGGGCAGAGGCTGAGGCTCCGCGGTTTTAACAATGAGTTCTACAAACACTTTCTCCCCATTCATAACTTATCAAAGGGAACTTTGCCCGCCTTTTCGCAGCTCTAGTCTCGGTGAGTTTTCTCGCCGCGCGGGCGAGCGCTCTTGGTAGCCCAGTCGGGGGCGCCGGCCGCGCGGCCAAGCCCGCTGGGGAGGGGGCTACGACTGGAGGAAAATGTCCGGACCCGCGGTCAAGCCTGCACCAACCGGGCCGCAGGTTGCCCCGTTTTGCAAACTGAAATTGCTCCCTGTGCCTCTCGGATGGCATGTTCGGCTGCGGTGGGCTTCCTGGCTGGGATAGCCACCTCCCCACCCAAACCCCACCGCATCGCCCGACTTGACCCAAATGAGATTTGTCTGAAGCCCAAGGGTGGGCCTGGGCTGCGGGACCTGGTCTTGGAGCCCCCGGAGGCTTGTGGATCTGTGGGAGGCACGGGGAAGGGGGCGTCGCTTGGGTCCCTGCGTGACTGCGGATAAGCATTCATTAAATGCTTTCGCAGAGCTGATGACCCGGAAGGATGTACGCGGCCCGCCTGGCCCTCATAGAGCTGCAGTGTGTGTTGGAGCGGGTGGTGCTTAGGCTACTGTGGATCTGTGGCCCCTCCTCTTTTATTCTCTCAGTCCAGTGGCTGAGAGCAAATGCTTTGGAGGCAGGCAGAGCTGGGTTTGAATCTTTAGCAACCTCGGTTGCCTCCTCTGCAAAATTAAGATAACAGTTGAACGTGCTATGCTTCGTAGGGTTGTTGCCAGGAGCAAATGAGATGCTCTGTAAATCGTTGGCCCAGTGCCTGGCACTTAGTTTTCAATAAATGAGAGCTCGGCTGCTGCTGCGGTTTTAATTTTTGGTCTTGTACTGCATTCTGCCTGCAGCCCTCTCACCTGCTCCCACAGCTTTGGCCTTGATTTCCCAAGGATTTTTACATGCTGTGTACTGTTGGAGTCTGCTCTTAATTAACACTCCTCACTTTTTGTATGTGTGGTGGTAGGGAGGTAACAGAGGCAGAAGTGGGTTCTTACAGCCCAGAGGGGCCGGGGTGGATCAGAGGAATGCCCCTTAGATTTGCAGTGTGCGTCACACTTTTGGTGCCCCGCCTACACCCCCTTGGCACTCACCTCTACCAAAAGGATGTTCCCTGCTGGCACCTGCGGCTCTGCCTAAGGTCTTCATTCTGGCTGTAGAATACAGGGCAAGTGGGAAGTGCTGCAGAGTAATCCTCCCACCTGCCCAGCAGCCCTCAGCCAATGAGAGAAGATATGCTGGTTGGATAAGTACCCCCACTTTCTTGCCCCTTGGTTGGGACAACTTTTTTTTTTTTTTTTTTTTTTTGCGGTACGCGGGCCTCACACTGTTGTGGCCTCTCCTGTTGTGGAGCACAGGCTCCAGACGCGCAGGCTCAGCGGCCATGGCTCACGGGCCCAGCCGCTCCGCGGCATGTGGGATCTTCCCGGACCGGGGCACGAACCCATGTCCCCTGCATCGGCAGGCGGACTCTCAACCACTGCGCCACCAGGGAAGCCCGGTTGGGACAACTTTGATGCATGTTCTACATGGAGACCCGGTGCTCCCCGGTGGGATGAAGCCCTAGTTGCCCACAGGGGTGACTTGCTCAGTAATGCAACCTTCACCAGCTGCCTTGCCTGCTCCTCTGAGCCCCACTCCTCTGCCCCAGTGTTTTCTGGGATCACTTCCCAACCATCTGCTTGCACTCCTGTCTCAGGTCAGGTGAGTGATGGGAGAGAAGTGGAGACTTGTAGACGATGCTCAAGAGGTTTGAGCAGAGCAGGACCTCATGGGGGAGGGGGCAGGGGCGTAAAGGGCCTAATTATGACCCTCCTCCCCTCAGGTCTCACAATTGGCTAGAGCTTTTCTCCCACCCCCTAAGGTCAATTGATTTCTCAGAAGTAAGGTGCTCTGCTCACCCTCCTCTAAGACCCTTCCAACCAGTTGCCACCCCCAGCCTCTCCTTCGGCTCTTTCATTCTCCTGCAGGAAAGTGGCAGCTGCCCAAGCCTCTCTGACTGTAATCTCCGCCATAACCTCTAGAGGTCACCCACGCACCAGCAAAATAGCTATTACCTTCCTTTATCAGGGCCCGCCTATTTATTGCTCCTTTCTTTAAATTGCAATGCTTTGCCGGCTCAAATTGTGCCTCTTCTTCCAGGAAGCCTTCTCAGATGTCTGCAGCTGGCAGTTCTCTGTGGTTATCTTCCTTTGCAATATCTTTTGAAGTTTTGTTAGGGCCTCCGGACTTTGAAAGGTTATAGTGGGGCGTGAGATGCCACACGTCTGGGCTGGCTGGGTGTGTGGGGTGCCATCTGCACCGAGAGGGATCCTGCGATGCAAATTTCCAGCAGATAAGCAGAGTCCTGACCCAGTGCTTGGTCAAAGGCAAGTGTCCAGACTGTCACAACTGCCAGTGGAGGGGTGCCAGGAGGAGGGGGTGCACCTCAAGGGATGAGGGGCTGGAGAGCTTGTGCCCATCCCAGCTGGTAGGGAGTGGGGCCTCTGCTACCTCGCTGAGGCCCCAGCCCTCATCAGGAAGGTTCATGAAGCTCAGGGGCTGGGGAACTGGAGTCACTGGGGCCATTGGACCATCTGAGGGTGGAGAGGGAGCTGTGATGGCCCTGGGCAGTGTTGGGAGTGCACGGAAGAGCATCAGAGAGGTTTGGATGGGTTAAGCTGCCATCTGTGGGACAGAGGATTTGCACTGAGGAAGAGATGCTGACCTGGGCCAGCTGGCAGCTCCTGGTCGCCCCCAGGCTCACAGCAAAATGCAACCACAGGCCAATATTCTTTAATCATAAAGGCACTTGAGAACCCCTACAAACTCAAAGTCTCCCCCAAGAGTGGCCCTGCAGATGACCCACCCTGCTGCCCTCCACCCGCAGGTCCACGGCACTCAGAGTTCATCGTGGCCTGCAGAGGCCTCCACGCTGGGCTTGATGAAGATGCCTTCCATGGCCTTCCACCTATTGTGGGTGTTGGCGCTGGGCATGCCGTGCACCTCGAGCTGCCCCCGGATGGGGCTCCCGTACTGCTCGCCGGTGACCGACAGGAACACGGAAGTGCCCACGTGCTGGAAGCGCACGGCGGCCTCCCGCTCCCAGTGCTGCCCCGAGCAGCGTACCGTCCACAGGTCCAGGTCATCACCCTCGCCGTCCTCCCCAAAGGCGCTCACCTCCTGTGGGGGCGGTGGTGGTGTGGGAGGACAGTGGTCACGCATGACAAAGGGCACACTGAGTCCGCCATGGGCAATTGCCTGGCAGCTGCACTCACACCCAGGTCCTTCCCTGCACCTCTCTGAGCCTCAGCTTCCACAGCTGCAAACTGGGACACCCCCACCCCCATCCCCAGCATCCAGAAGGGCCTCCCCAACACCAGCTCTTCAAACACATGCACACCCCACCTCAGCTGCCTGGACGGTGACCAGTGGCCCCCACAGAACCAAGTCATCCCCCTCCTTCCTCCGCTGGGTTTCTCCTGTCCTAACCCCTCTGACCCTCACTCAGCATCAAGTCTACCCTTCAGGCTGACAGCCAAGGTTCTATTATCTCATCCTTTCCTTCTGATAACCTCCCCAAAGCACCCTCTGTTCCAGTACCACCTCCCACCCAGTTCCAATGAACTCCGCTCACAGGCTCTTCCCCAGGCTTGGAAAGATGCCCTTCTCCTCTCTGCGGCCTGGCGGACTCCTACTCATCCTTCCAGGCCCAGCCCCAGTTCCTCCTCCCCGCGGGGTTCCCATTCCCCACCCCAACGGCCATGCGGATCCCCCTCCTGTGTCCAACTCGCCCCCAGGAGTGGAGCTATCCAGACGGACAGCTCTTCCTGTTTGTGTCCCCGCTGGGCTGAGGGCTCCAGGGGACAGGACCCTGGAGTAGTCACCTCTGCATCCCCCGAGGGGGCGCTCGGCAAACACTTCTGACTTGTAATTCCCGTTTCACCCAGGAAGCTGGGGCTCCGAGCAGATGCCGGGCCCCTCGCACACACGCCAGGGGCTCACCTGGTTGTGGGACAGCGGCGACGGGAAGTGGTGCGTGTGCAGGTTCTTGCCGGTGAGCACGTGCGTCAGCCGCACAGCCTGCCCGCAGCGCACCGGGGACCCGCGCGGACACCCGCCCTCGGAGCCGCCGCGGATCCGCCAGTAGCTGTTGGCGTCGTCAGACGCCTCCACGCCGGTCACCGACTGCTGGCCGCTGCCTGGGGGGCGACACCCCACCCCCGGGGTCGCTGTCAACGCGGGAACTCCGACCCTCGACCCGGACACCATCAGCTTTCCCGGACAACCTCAACCCTGGGATCCAACGGCTCCCCCAGCCCCCGCCCGCCTCCGGCCGCACTCCAAGTCCCTTGGCCCACAGCTCCGAACGGCATCCCGAAGACCCCCTCGAACCGCCGGCCTGTGGCCCTCGGCCCCCAACTACTCCAGCCCCTGATGACCCCCAGCCCCCTGGTCCGCAGAACCCCGACGTCAGACCCCCGCCCCGGCCCGCGCACCGGATCCGTATTTGATGTCGTGCGAGTGCAGCCGCACCCGGTGCTGCGTGTTGAGCAGCTTCAGCACCGACCCGCAGGTCACGACCCCCGCGCCGGTCTTGACGGCACAGCTGCCCGGGACCGAGATCGCCAGCAGCAGCCCCAGCAGCGCCGGGCCGGCAGCTCGGCCGCGGCCCGCGCTCCTCATCGCCCCGGCCGGGCTCCGGCAACTCGGGCCCTGGTCGCTTCCGTCTCCGCCGCCGGCCAATCCGGCTCTGACAGTGCCCGCCACGGCAGCCAATCGCCAGCC